AGAGTTTATAACTTTGCAGGCTCGTGGCATGAGTCCTGATGGGCCCCAAATATTCAAAGTTAGAATGAACTCAGCTTCTCTCCCTGGACCTGAAGGGAGTGGGCAGAGACAACTTACACCAGCATCCCTCTGCTCTACAACAGTGGTTTTCAAACTGGCCACACACAAGAATCAACTGGAGAGCTTTCAGAAATCCTCATGCTCGGGCCACACCCCGACCAATTAAATCAGAACTTCTGGGGGTAGGGCCCAGACACTGGCATTTTATAAAGTGTCCAAGTGAATCCAATGTGGAGTCAAGGTTGAGGACCATGTCAGTAGCAAAAACATTAATTATTTTAAGATCCGATTTATACTAGGACTTCCCTGGTGGCACAGTGGATGAGAACCCGTCTGGTGACACAGGTGACACGGGTTTGATTCCTGATCCGGGAAGATTCCAAATGCCATGGAGCAACTACACCCAAACCCCGCATCTACTGAGCCCATATGCTGCAACTACTGAAGCCCATGTGCCTGGAGCCTGTGCTCCAAAACGTGAGACGCCGCCTCAACGAGAAGCCTGAGCACAGAAACGGAAAGTGTAGCCTCTGCTTGCTGCAACTAAAGACTGCATGTGGCAATGAAAACCCAGCACAAACAAAAAATATGTAAATAAAATTATATTAAAAAAAAACTTACACTAGGCTCTTAATTGGCTTCAGAACATTTTAAAGACTGCTAAAATGTCATAGTTTGCATGCATCACCACACTTCAGATACTCGTAGATAACCATCTATGGACACCTCAGAGATAAACTGGGTGATTGCTTCCAGACCACCAAAATAAAGTGAATGTCACAAAAATGAGAGCCACATGGATTTTTTGGTTTCCCAGTGCATATAAAAGTTATGTTTACACTATCCAGTAGCCTATTAACTCCACAGTAGCATTGTCTAAGAAATCAAGGTACATACTTTAATTAAATATACTTTATGGCTAAAAAATGCTAACACTCATCTGAGCCTTCTGTGAGCTGTAATCTTTTTTACAAGAGTAACATCAAAGATCACTGATCACAGAAAACCATAAAAAATACAGTAAAAATTAAAAAGTTGGAAGTATTGTGAGAATTACCAGACCATATGACACAGAGACACAAGATGAGCAGATGTTGTTGGAAAAATGGCACTGACCGGCTGGCTCCATGAAGGGTTACCACACAGACCTTCAGTCTGTAAAAGACACAGGATCTGTGAAGTGCAATAAAAGAAACCATGAAAAACCAAAGTTCACCTGGATATCTTTTTATTTGTGCAGAGTTGTTAAAAATAAAAGGGGCTAAATGCACTTGAATCCGAAACAGAAAAAGATATTCAGTGGGAAAAGTGGTGAAATTTGAATAAAGTCTGTAGCTCAGTTACTAACAGTATCAATAGCAAGGTTAATGCCTTAGTTTTGATACTCATCACATGGTATCTATGATATTCACATTAGGGGAAGCTGGGTGAGGGGTATATGAGAACTCTGTACTGTCTATGCAGCTTTTCTATATAACTATTTATTTCTACATAAAACTTTTAAAAATTGAATTGAAAAAAAAACACAGAAGATAGACCTAGTACTAATCCTACATTGATTAACTAATGATAGGAAACATCCCTTGACACAGAGTCTGACACTGTGGCCTTGGACACTATTAATGAATGCAACTTAGGGGTGAAGGGAACTTAAAAGAATCTTCCAGTTTCGTCTACATTCTGTTTCATATTTCTTTTCTCCATGCCCATCCAGATCCTACAAAATGTCATCAACAGCAGTTCACACTGAAAGACTCACTGACTATACATACTGTACTATTAGGAATTATAACACTGCTGGCAATTCCTAACACTAGTGCAGTATTTTATAGCTTACAGCACTTTTTCCTTCCTTTTTTTGGCTGTACCATGCAGCATGAGGGACCTTAAGTTCCCTAACAAGGGATGGAAATGGTGCCCCCTGCACTGGGAGAACAGAGTCTTAACCACTGAACTGACTGGGAAGTCCCAACAGCACTTTCTAAGTCTTGTTTTGATCTGAATTAGGAAAAAGGCAAATGCATAGGGTATGCCATGGGTTGCAATAAAGGATGAAAGTTCAACTGCATTTTATTATAAAATACCCAGTGTAGTACCTGCAGAACACACACACACACACACACAATACACATGCACAATTTGAAAATCCACTTAGTAAATGATCTGGCATTACTGCCTAGCAGTGCCCAGTGTGAGACCAGAGGCGGGACAGAAGACAAGGATAGTGGTTACCGACCTATCATCACCACCCTAGACGCTTCCCTGATGGCTCAGATGGTAAAGAAACTACCTGCAATGCGGGAGACCTGGGTTCGAGCCTTAGGTCAGGAAGATCCCTTGGAGTAGGGCATGGCAACCCACTCCCGTATTCTTGCCTTGGGAATTCCATGGACAGAGGAGCCTGGCGGGCTACAATCCATGGAGTCACAAAGAGTCGTACATGACTGAGCAACTAAGCAGACCGCACAGACCAAGCCTCACCCACAGGCACCATTCTGTGGTCACAGCTTTCATGCATTCCTTTCCCACCAAGAAAAGAAGAAAAGGTCAGATGACCAAAAAGGCCATGAGCCAACGCCTTGGCCCCAGGTGTGGTCTGCCCTTGACTGACAATGCCCTGAGTCAACGGCCACCCCTGCCTTCCCTTTGTTCTGTCTCCTCATCCTGGTCTCTTGGAGGCCGGTTCCTGATTTTCTAGGGGCCCCTGATACTCACTGTTCCCTGGTGAGTCAGGCCCATCTGCCATCTCTTTTCCAGGAACTGTCTGTCAGCTGCAAAGTCTTGTCCACCGATCTCGGCTGGCTGTCCGCCACTTCTACAATCACCAGGGGAGCCCTCCCACCCACACCCAGGTGAAGAGGTTGGTGGTGGCCACTCTTCCTCTGGACGGTGCCAGACGATGGTTCATATCCTCCTTATCACCCCCACCCTCCCCAAAAGGGCTCTCCAGCTGCCAGTTCACAGTCCAGGGAGAGGGACCCTTCCCTTCAGCCTGCGTGCCTCCAGCCTGCATGCACGTGCGCACACAGAGACACAGGAACACACACACACTTTCCCCAGCAGCCCAGGGAGTCAGGAGAGCCAAGACCTGGAACAGACAGACATACACACACACAGAGGCACACAGACACACTTTCCCCAGCAGCCCAGGCAGCCAGGAGAGCCAAGACCTGGAACAGACAGACATACACACACACAGAGGCACACAGACACACTTTCCCCACCAGCCCAGGGAGCCTGGGGCAGATAGGCTCCATTCGATGGGACAGGTGGGTGGTGCTGTGTGGTTTTCCTGCTTCCATCTCTCCTGGGAGCAGAGCAACTTTCTCCCTGACATTCATTTCTTCCTGGCTGGTGCCGTTAGGGCTGTGATCTGAAACCTTCGGCAGGTGTATTTTTTCCTCCTGGGCCCAGGACAATAAGCTCGTTCTCTGACTTGTTTATCCAAAAGGGAAGTCAAATTGGGACCCATCTTGAGTTCACTGGCTCTCTGAGAAGAGGAAACGTACTTGGGAAATGTGAACAATGGGATATGACAAATCGAAACTGTGGTTTCCTTCTAATGAGTGAAAAATGTCTGGGTACCAGTTCAGAGGGTTACAGTGGTTTTCAGGAGAAAGGGTAGAAAACAACTACATTCGTGAAAGTGGTTATTCTCCATGTATATTTGTACATTTGTCTTAAAGAATTTTTAAAATTTACTTTGCTGGCTCTTTCCCATCACAGCCCTCCAGGTCACAGCCCTGTTTACAAGGTCCCACCCACAGGCACAGCGATCCTTCTAGACCAGGCGCAAGCAGTCCTGTCTCCTTTCTGGCTCAGTTCTCTGATGCTCCAGGGCCAGGGGCAGCCTGTTCCTCCTGACTTTCTGGAGCCAGGTGTGACTCTGCCCCCAATACTGCTCACGCTGCCACCTGAAAGGTTGCTAATTTAGAGGGTTGATAATCTGCCCAGTTTGCCCCAGACAGTTCCAACTTACACCCTCTTTTACCCACAGGGTCCTGATATGGATGATAAATGCTGCGGCTGCCCCATCCATCTGCAGCTCCCGGAGGGTCCTTGCACATATGCACCTGATCATCTCTCCCATTGACCAATATGGATGCCTCCAGTCCGTGCTCCTGAGCCCAACCTGCTTCAATGGGACCTGCCTCCTTGAGTCATCTTGTCCAGATGCTAACCTAACCCTAATCTATTAATGTTTTAGGACATCATCTCTGTAATTCTAAGGATCTGGAGGAGCATGTGTGCAAGTGTGTGTGTGTATGCACAGAGGAGCAAAAACTGTAAAACATTTGCTTAGAACAGTGTATTGAGGAATTTGCGCAGGTGTACACTGTACTCTTTTATTAACAATATAATAAGAAGGAAATTGAAATTGAAATTTTAGTAAAGATACTCCTTCCTTGTGTTGCAAAACACCATCTTAGAGAGCCAAATTGAAAGATCACTGAACACAAATGTACTTTTCATCAGATGAGCAGTCTGAATTTTCCATTTTTATAGTCTACTTCATCGCTGACAGTGAAACTGCACAGATACTCTTCATTTTGAATTTATCATCACACTGATTTCCTGTTATTGTTATTCCAACACTAAAAAGAAATGCTACATTTCCAGATGTTTTCATTTAACTCTAACAGAAAACAAACCCAGACAAATCTACTTTTTTAAAAAAAGAAACATTTCAGTTCTGAACACGCACCGGCTTGATTATAAGAACTGGTTTACCTAATAATTTCATAATATGAGCATCACCCTAATTATATCCTTTGGCTGTTCCAGGCATGATCACAAGGCCTTTGAAATTCAAATGATGAACTTGGACTGACCCTGAACCGCGAGACCTAAGTGGCCTGCAGCAGCCTTCACTGCGGACAGTTGAGACAGTGCAATTTTGAGTTCCATATTTTCCCTTCCCTGAACACATGGGTACTTACGTCTCATCTGTGAAGGCAATTCCAAAGTATTCCTTCTCCTTCAGGTTGAAGTGAGAGGCCACGAGGTCAAGCAGCTCCTTGGCCAAAAGCTTGGGCTGGAGAGAGAACAAAGTAGAAGAGTAAGTGATGAGAGATTCCATTTCCTGAAACATGCAATCTCAATCTCATATTTCTTGAAGGGAACGTCTCAAAGTTCAAGAACATCCATACACATGGTTTTTATAAAACCCAAGGAGTTGACAATGAGGACAGGGCCATCAGTGGACTGAGACCTTCTGACTTGTTTACTGGTAGTCTGTTTTATCAACAAATGGTACTTGCTCACAGACAAGGCTGTCAGACCTCACAGTTCTCCTCCCCCACACAGGAAAACATTCTATACTGAGTTGACAGGAAGATATCTAATTTTAAATATATATATATTTAATATATATATTATATATATATACACACACACATGAAAGTGAAGTCGCTCAGTCATGTCCGACTGTTTGCGACACCATGGACTGCAGCCTACCAGGCTCCTCCGTCCATGGGATTTTCCAGGCAAGAGTACTGGAGTGGGTTGCCATTTCCTTCTCCAGGAGATCTTCTGGACTCAGGGATTGAACCCGGGCCTCCCGCATTGTAGGCAGATGCTTTACCATCTGCGCCACCAGGGAAGTCCCTTATATAAATACATAGTCACACATATGTAATGGGCCCCCTGGTGGCTCAGATGGTAAAGAATTTGCCTGCCATGCAGGAGACATGGGTTCGATCCCTGGGTCAGGAAGATCCTTTGGAGAAGGAAATGGCTGCCCCCTCCAGTATTCTTCCTGGGAAATTCCATGGACTTGAGGAGCCTGGCAGGCTACAGTTCACGGGGTTGCAAAGAGCCAGACAAGACTAAGCAACTAACACTAACATATGTAACATAAATATGCTGTGACATACATCAAACATATATTGCATAACACAAATGCTATATAATACTACAATATAGTAATACTGTAGTTAATATATTATAGAATGTGAAGACAGATATATTGGTTTGGCCAATAAGTTCATTTTGATTTTCCCATAAGATATAATGGAAAAACTTGAACTTTGTAGCCAACCTTATACATACATACATATATATGTATATATATATATGTATGTATATATGTATGTATGTATGTATGTATGTATTTACCATGCACTTATATAGTATTTGCTATGTGCTATTTGCTATGTGCTAGGGCCTGTTTCAAGCACTTTACAAACACCAGCTTCTTTAACCCTCATCACAACTCTATAAGGTGGTTCTATTATTAATTCCATTGTATGGGGAGGAAACAGGTGCCCAAAGATTAAACATCTCTCTTTAAGTATTGAGGTTGAGATTTGAACCCTGGTTCCAGAGACTACCCTTGACTACTCTATGCATGGGGGTGTGTGTGTGTGTTAGTTGCTCAGTTGTGTCTGACTCTTTGTGACCCCATGCACTATAGCCCACCAGCCTTCTATGTCCGTGGAATTCTCCAGGCAAGAATACTGGAGTTAAGTTGCCATTTCCTTCTCCAGAGGATCTTCCCAGCCCCAGGATCAAACCAGCATCTCCCGCATTGGCAGGCAGATTCTTTACCATCTGAGCCACTCAGGAAGCCCTGATCATTCTATACGCTCCCATAATTTAAAATTCAAACAATAAAAGTAACTTCCTGCCAGAAATGTTAACATTAAGGCCAAAGGAACTTGAGAATAGTTATTTAAGAATAAACCAAAAATCTGCCTTTCCAAGAATATTTTTATCCAAGAATATTTTTATCATGAACACTTTCCTGAACATCTCTGCCAATCTAAAGGAGTGTGTCAGAGCCTTAGATATGAAATCACTGTAGCTGTTTGCACTGTCAAGACATCCATCACTCTGGCCTATCACTGTTTAGATGACTACAGACTACCAGGCTCATATTTTATTTTCTTGGGCTCCAAAATGACTGTGGACAGTGACTGCAGTCATGAAATTAAAAGGCGCTTGCTCTTTGGAAAAAAAGCTATGACAAATATAGAGAGTGTATTAAAAAGCACAGACCTCTCTTTGCTGACAAAGGTTCATATAGTCAAAGCTCTGGTTTTCCCAGTAGTCATGTATAGATGTGAGAGCTGGACCATAAAGAAGGCTGAACACCAAAGAATTGATGCTTTTGAACTGCGGTGCTGGAGAAGACTCTTGAGAGCCCCTTGAACAGCAAGGAGATCAAACCAGCCAATCCTAAAGGAAATCAACCCTGAATATTCATTGGAAGGACTGATGCTAAAGCTCTAGTACTTTGGCCATCTGATGCGAAGAGCTGACTCACTGGACAAGACTCTGATGCTGGGAAAGACTGAGGACAGGAGAAGGGGGTGGCAGAGGGTGAGATGGTTAGATAGCATCACCAACTCAATGGACTGAGTCTGAGCAAATTCCAGGAGGAAGTAAAGGACAGGGAAGCCTGGTGTGCTGAAGTCCACAGGGTCACAAAGAGTCAGACACGACTTAGCAACTGAATAGCACCACCACCACCAGGTTCAGACATAGGAGAAGAAAAGGCTGATAATAGAGATGTGGAGCCAAAAGGTATCAACTATTTCTAAATTGCCTCCAAGGTCAGGCTTTTGCAGATGCATTGCCTTTATTCTACAACAATTGCCCTGTTCCAAGAATACTCACTGGATGTCTCTAAGCACAAAGCAAGAAAGGATGCGAGAAGAGAAAACGTGTGTGTGTGTGTGTTTGCATTTATGCACATCAGTATACCATTCCTGAGTATATTTCCTGCTCTGGTGGTTACTTTGTTCCATTCTTCTATTAAGAGGGTGGATAAGATGTGTAAATCAAGAGTTACGTAGCAGGACTTCCCTGATGGTCCAGTGGTTGAAAGCCTACCAGCCAGTGTGAGGGACATGGGTTCGATCCCTGATCTGGGAGGATCCCACGTGCCACGGAGGAGCTGGGCCCGTGCACTGAAACTAGTGAACCAGCATGCTGCAACTACTGCAGCCCGAAAGCCTAGGCCTGCGCTCCACAGTAGGAGAAGCCACCGCGGTGAGAAGCCCACGCACAGCAACTGAGGGAACCCTGTGAGCAGCGGCAGCCAGCCAGCACAGCCAAAAATAAAATAAATAGAAATTAATTCTAACAAAGAGTTACGTAACAGTTTTAGAACTAGCATATGATCTTGCAATTCCACTTCTGGGTATTTATCCAAAGTAAACAAAAACACTAACTTGAAAAGACATACGTACCCCCCTGTTGCATTATTTACTACAGTCTAGACATGGAAACAAGCTAAGTGTCCATCTATAGATGAATGGGTAAAGAAAATGTGATATATACACACAATGCAGTATTATTCAGCCATAAAGAAGAGGGAAATTTTATCATTCACAACAACATGGGTGAACCTTGAGGGTATTATGCTAAGTGAAATAAATCAAACAGAGAAAGACAAATACTATATGGTCTCACTTGTGTGCGGAATCTAAAGAAGAAAATTAAAAAATACTCCATAGATCCACAGAACAGACTGATGGTTGCCAGAGATGGGGGGTGATGAGTAGGGGTGGGAGAAATGGGTTAAGATGGTAAGAAAAAAAAGAGTTACAAGGCAGTTTAGTTTCTTATTTCACTTTTTTGGTGCTACTAAGGACTGTACTGTGTCCCCCCCTCCCAAATTCCTATGTGGAAGCCCTAAACCTCACCGTGATGGTATCAGGCAGTGGGGCCTTTGGGAGCTGATCAGGGTTAGATGAGGTCATGAGGGAAGGTTCTCATGATAGGATTAGTGTCCTTATAAGAAGAGATCCCAGAGAGCTGGCTTGCTCTCTTTCTACCAGGTGAGGACACAGTGAGAAGGCTGCAGTCTCCAAGCGAAGAAAAGAGCCCTCAATAGAGCCCAGCCAGGCTGGCACCCAGACCTCGGACTTCCACCCTGTAGAACTGTGACAAAATCAGTGTCTCCTATTTAAGTCTCCAGGTCTGTTGGATTTGTTAGGCAGCCCAGGCAGACTAAGACAGGGGCACTTCCTTTGATCCAACAAACATTTATGGAGTGCCTGAAATGTGCAGGGCACTAGCGAACCCTGCAGGAGACACAAAAATGCACAGCACACAGTACTTGCCAATAGGCCCTTAGACTCTCACTAGGGCACAGAGTAACAGCTAGTGTTCATTTCGAAAAGCCAAAGCAGATGGTTCCGTCTCTGCTGCCTCATCCTGGGCTACCAGCATGGCAGTCTCGGGGTCTCATCACCATCAATTTACCAATGAAAACTGCCAAAAATGATGAGAGTGGTTTTGAAGTGGGGGCAGAGCTTCCTCCCCGCAAAAGACATAAATCAACAGGAGAATCCATTTTGGTAAATCAATGTCATCCCATATGCTATACTTCCATTCACACTAAGGAAGGCAGGGGAGTAAATGTGGCACATCTCAGAGCATCATTAATGAGTGACAAGTAGAATCCAAGGGGAGGGAGGCTCTTGAAGCTTCAGGATATATTTGCTAAGGGATGCTGTGGGGCTGTGTTGCTAGCATCACCTCCATCCCCACGAGGTACCTGAATGCCTAGATAAAAAGCATTTAATGCAGAGGCTGTGACCCAATGGAGGGAGGCAAGGCTGATTTTTACATTGTAAAGTACCATAACTCATCTTTCCAAATGCTTGCATCCCTTTCAGAGAAGTCACAGCATTTCTATGATCTGCTATTTCTTTAAACATTTTGATCATCTTTGGGATCTACCTTTGAAGCTTGTGTCACATGTGTAAAAGCATCGTCGCTGGTCTCGGAACAGATTTGACTTTTTTTTTAAAAAAAGTGAATGGTGATAGAGGGTGCACGGGGGAAGCACGTTGGATCAAACTGGTTTTCTAGAACGAGGTGTGACTAGTAATTCATTATTTGTGGGTTCTTAGAGGTAATGGGGAGATTCCCAGACCAAACTTGGAAATGATGGAAATAAGATTTCCTTCTCTTTGAGAGTTAAACTTGAAAGCCATCATCTCAATGGAATTGACCAGAGGTACACAAGTTTACCCAGGAAGAAAGTAGAAGCCATCTATCACATGACTAAATACTGTAATC